GGGGGGGACCTGGCAACCCTAAACTGCTGCCAGGCCTAGGGTTGCCAACCTCTAAGTGGGGCCTGGAGGACCCCCCCCCAGAATTACAACTGAACTCGAGACAGCAGAGATCTGTCTCCCTGGAGAAAATGGCTGCTTTGGAAGGTGGACTCTGTGGCATTATACCCAGCTGAGGCCTCTCCCTTCCCCAAACCTCAAAACCTCTAGGGATTCCCCAGGCTGGCCCTGGCAGCCCTTGTCAGGCCAGGCCCCAAGGCTCCCTTCCTCCCTCCCTCCCTGAAAGGCCAAAAGAGGCCTGGAAAGGGACCTTCCCCCACCCTTTTACAGACAGAGCCAGTTAGAAGCCTCCGCCCCCTCGAACGTTCTGATCTCTCTCTCACCGTTGATGCCTGGAGTTAGATCCCTGCAGAGGCCATTTCAAAAGGTATTGGGGGGAATTCAGCCATCCCTGGAGGGATTTTTTAACTTTTTGGATTTTTCTGCAGACACAGGTAGTCTACTGACTATGTAGGAAAAGCTGTTGGGGCAGAGTGAGCTTCCTGTTAGTGGAAATAAGTATCCGCACACGGCGCCCTCTGTTGGAAATTAGAATATAAGATAGGGCATTCTGTTCTGGAGGGCTTGTGAACTTAGGTACATTTATTTATAGCTGGATGGATTCTATGGTGCTTCTGCTGACTAGGTACGTTCAGTTATTTATTGATGTTGTGCTTTTATTGTATGATTTCATGTTTTTGTAAACAACCTTGAAGACCTAACTGACCAAAATGTTGAGACATAAATATATCAAGACATGAAATCAATCAGCATGGACCTCCAACTTCAGAAGCATGTGCAACTTATATACACCCAGCATCCATTCCCCTTACTATATACATTATCTGAACCCATACAACGTCCTCTTGCCCCTGCCTTGGTCCACTACTGCCACTTCCTGCTCTATCTCTCTATAATTGACTACCTGAAGTCAGGCTTTACAAAATCAGGATTGCCCATGGGGAAGGGGCAGAAAAAAAAGGGTTGTAGATCAAGTGGGAGGAAGGATGAATCCCACCGTCAAGGTTTAATCAAATACTACCAGACAACAGCTGGAATGAGTCCAGGAATATCTTGTTACAATTCAAGATCCATTGCTCTATGTGGTCTGGCAGGTGGTAAAGCTATGTTTGTGTGTGTGTGAGAGAGGAAGATCTTGCTGGCAGCAAGCTAGCCACAGCAAAATTCCACCTGGGTCAAGTTTGTCTTCCTCTCCCTGCAGGTAAAAAGCTTGGGCGTGGCCAGAGGCATGAGCTGAAAGACAAGAGGCAAAGGGCTCATGGCTTGCAGCCTGTGCTCCTGGAGGTAACCATGTACTGAATCCTAACCAGCCCGGCACATATTGTTGTTTTATTTGTTTGGTTGATTATGTTGTATTTTCTTTCATTTATTATTGTAAGCTGGTTTGGGTCCCCTGAGAGAGAAAAGCAGGCTATAAAGATAAATAAATTCAATGGAGTGTTGCTGTAGTTAGAGTGCTTAACTGAGATTGCAGTGACCCATCTTTAAATCCCAGCTATAATGCTCGCTGGGAGGGCTTGGGCCAGTCACGCTCTTTCAGCCTAACTTTACCTCACAAGGTTGCCGCAAGGGTGAAATGGGGAGGAGAGAACCATGTATGCTGCCCCGAGAAAGGTGGGCTAAAATGTGAGAAGCATCTGAAAGACCCCATCATTTAAACAGCAGCGCCATAAGCCATCACGCTGTCTCTCACAGAAGGGCCAAGACCAACCTGCAGCTGCTGCCGTCTTATTATCTGCTGCTTTAGTAAGTGGTTCCTCATCGTATAACCATTCACCATCGGCCGAGCCGGTGCAGGCGCTGGACCTGTATTTGGGGCAGCTGTTGGCTCCTGAAGTGTAGCGACAATCCCGGGGTTTTGGTCCTGTCATTAGCAAGAAAAAAAGAAAAAATTGAAATCTCACTGCAACGAACACGGCTGAGACCTCTGACACACTTGCTCACAAAATTTCCAACCAGAATCGCCGCTGACAAAGTGGCTCAGACCCCCCAATCCCTTCAAACCATGGTGTGTATTAAATGAAATTTAGAACATATAAAGGTAAGGTAAGTGTTCCCTTGCTCGAAAGCCAGTCGAGTCCGACTCTAGGGTTGCGGTGCTCATCTCCGTTCCAAAGCCGAAGAGCCAGCGCTGTCCGAAGACGTTCCGTGGTCATGTGGCCGGCATGACTAAACACCAAGGCGCACGTAACGCTGTGACCTTCCCACCGAAGTGGTACCTATTTATCTACTTGCAATTTCTTGCTCTCGAACTGCTAGGTTGGCAGGAGCTGGAACTAGAGACGGGAACTCACTCCGTCATGCGGCACACTCGGGTCTCGAACTGCTGAACTACCGACCTGCAGCCTGCAGTTCAGCGTCTTAACCACTTGAGCCACCGCAACTCCTTAGAACATATACCAGGGTTTAAACTTCTAAACGTACAAGCATGCCATGGGTTAGAAAGCTGGTTTCACTTTCATTTTATTTCTGATCAGCACTACCCAGAGTGGCCCAGAGGCACCCAGCAAGCTTTTATGGCAAAATAGGGATTTGAACCCAGGTCTCTACCACACCATGCTGAAACTCATATATGCACCAGGACTGAAAAAAAGAAACATGCTCTTCCAATATATTCACGTATGCCAATACACACAGGAAATATTAATAACCTCCTAGGCAACTTAACACTTTTTTTCTCATAGTGTCACTTGGGGGGAAGTGTTCAAAGAAACACCTGCTCCAAAATCCCTCCTCTTTGATCTTTCAGGAGCTGGGAATAAAATACCATCTCCTCATTCTATCCTTATGGGAATTAATATACACTGTGCCTCCCCTGTTAAAGTTCAAGAGTGACTGTATCATTTATACATATCACATAATTATAACTGTTTATGTCTGTCTCCTTCCAAACAGCAGCATAAAACAAAACAAAAAAATGTAGTTTGTACTCACTTAGTAAACTAACATCCCCCCCTGTACTTCAATACACAAAAAGGCTGCTGGTAAGGAGTATACAAACTATAGTGATTTCTTTGGGAGAATGCCAGTGTAGCCAGTTCATAAGAGTTATTTATCACAAGAATTTAGCATCACAGCTTCCACGGCATGCCAGTGTTGCCCTCCAACTAATTCATACAGAGGGAGGAAGAAGCATCCCTGAATCTTACAGGGGGTGGGGGGAAAGGAGGAGGACCACGGGGAGGTCAATGGTCTGTGTTATGCTCTTAATTATTTCTTCTACAGCAAGCAACGTAGTTGTACTGAATTTATGATGCTTTTACCATGCTTTTCTGCCAAAACTTGACTTCTCAAGCAGTGTCCAGAAATTAAAAGCAATAAAAATATCTATTAAAGTATAATGCAAAGGTCCTTGGAGGGGGTTTCTCAGTGAGGTCTTGATCCAGGCGAGATGGAAAAGGTCTGGCGCTGCTGCCTCCTCCCTCTCCCTCAGCACTCCGAAAGGGAGGGCTTAGCTAAAACTGGAATCAGACACAACAGAAGGATGCTCAGTCTTGCGGATGGCAGCTGGTAAATGGGAAGGTTAGGTTTGGTTAGCTGGCAGTCTGGTTGAGAATGACTATAAGGTTAGCTTCAGAGGGAGACATGCTCAGGTATTTGCCAGGGCCTCCTCCTTTGCAAAGGCTCACTGGCCTAACAAACCCACCGTTCTTACTCTCAAAAGGGCACCCAGAAACGCCAGAGGCCATATGAGTGAATTCTCAGACGGTCTGGAAGGTCTGAGGCATGTGGAGGACCAGGGTTTCCAGCTCTGGGTCGGGAAATGCCTGGAGATTTTGGAGGTGGAGCCTGGGGAGGGCGGGGTTTGGGGAGGGGAGGGGCTTCAACGGGGTATCAGGCCATAGAGTGCAACCTCCAAAGCGGCCATTTTCTCCAAGTGAACAGGTCTCTGTCGCCTGGAGATCAGTTGTAATCCCAGGAGATCTCCAGACACCACCTGGAGGTTGGCAAGCCTAGAGAGTACTGAGGTGGTTGTCTCTGAGGGTACTCCAAAGCTATTGTAGTGGAGTGGTTAGAGTGCTGGGCCAGGATCTGGGAAACCCCAAATCCCAATTCCACCATGGAAGTTGCTGGGTAGTCCACTCTCAGCCTGACCCACCTCACAGGGTAGTTTTTGTTAAGCTAAAATGGAAGAGGAGAGAATGATATCATTATCTGCTCTAGGTCTCCAGTTAAGGAGAACAGCAGGGTATATCTAAACAAATAAACAAAGGCCAGAGTCCAAGAGTACAGAAAGATGGATCCTCAAAACCAATGTTTCTATGAGTGGGATCTGCTAGGTAACTAGAGTGACAAAATAGGAAACAGTCGAACAAGGGAGGAAAGGAATTGTATTGTCTGCCACCATCTGCCTCATAACCTACTTCAGCTTCTAGTAGAATTTTACATTATTGATGGCACTTTGTTATTATTGGCAGAGAGGGCCCTGTACATTATACAGTCGGCGCACTCAAAAACTGGGCTACGCTTCCTTTGTTTGCCAAATGGAAGCCCATATCCTTTGTTCAAGCGTCAGTGTTATCAGAAGATAAGCAACCAAGAAAAGGGTAGGTACCTTTTGACATCTGACAATTAGGATCGTGCCATAATGGAGAAAACAGGAAGCCAGCAAGGAAACTTTGTACTGTGTTTATGGAGAGCAAAGCCGAGTGGAAGAGGTGGGGTGCGGGTGGAAGAGATTCGGAGGAGGAGGCAGGCTGCATCACGGGAAGAAAAATGACTGCATCACTTGGGGGAACTTTCCCCCTCTTTCTTTATAGAAGCCACAGCCAGAAGAAGGCCACTGAAATCACTCACTTTTATGGCGCTTTACTGTTGGAGACAGCATTTATCTGTCCCACCAAGCCACAATGGGTGGAACACCCATGCTCACAAGACAGCTTACCAGAAGATGTAAACCTGCACCTCACACTGTGTTCTCATTCTCATCTTTGTTCACGGATGCTCTCCGGTGGCAATATATTATTAGCACCATCTTTGTTTATGAAGCCATCCGTCCCTGCTTCCCTGGCTCCTGCTTCTTCACTCTCTCCCCCCTCTCTAACCTGTGCAAAAACCCGGCTGCTCCAGAGGGTGGCAAGGCCAGGCATCTCCCAGGGCCCCGAGCTCAGCAAAGGGACCAATGCCCCAGCAGCGCTGGCTCTCTCCATCAAAGGAGGTCAAAAACAGCCTGAGAAAGTCCTCCGCTCTCCTAGAGGTTAATAGGCCTGCTGAGCATGCCCTCCTTAAGGCACTGCTGCACGGTGGAGCCAGCCCTGAGGAGAACAAACAGGGATTACTTTAGTAAGGGGAAAGTTCCCTTGAAGCTTCTGCCCATTTCACTTGTCAAATGTTACAGTGTGGCCACGTAGATTTACACTGCGTCGCCTTCAGGGGGAAAAAGATCTGCAAGAGAAGCAGGGAGTCAATTTGCTTGCCCTGCACTTGAAAGGCTCCCCAGTGCTCCCGCCAATTTCCCCCCAACCTGTCTGGCTGTGTACTCACTGAAGCAAACAGGTTTATCACTACCACAATTGCTGGGATTTTCTTGCTCAGGGCAACAGCATTAATGAATCCCATCATGAAGGTGTCTCCTCGTTGATAGCACGCCCCTTTTCTGCTGCAATCTTGTCCCAACTTCATTGGAAAGAGAAATGCTAATTTTCCCCCTACCTCACTGTATTATTAAGGGGAAGTAAGTGTGTAGCCCAACGCTAATTGCAGTAATAAAATGGCTTTAATTATGTAAGGTGTTCCTGTACTTACCCCACTGCAATAAAGGCAATTGGATTCATTTGCTTGCAAGTATGTGGGATAAGCTGCAACGGTTCAAAGTGAAGTTTGATACAGGAAATTTAATTAGCTCCTCAAACCTAGGAGGGTTCTTTCGGTTGGTTTTGTTTTTTAATCTTGTGGGAGAAATGTGAACAAAAAACAATAGAAGGAGATGGCAATTGGCAATCTGCATTCTGCAAAATTACATTCAGGATAAACAAACAACAAAGAGTTCTATATTTTCGCCACTAGTGGGAACTACAGGATTCCCTTCTAGGGAAGGGGGGGGGGGAAGGCACGCAAGTGTAACAACTAAGAATAGCTCTTGCACATGACCAAAGCGACATTGCTATCCGCATCAAAGGTTAATGAACCTGATTTTCTCCCCTTTATATCACTCCCAAGGAAACTCGTTTGCCTTCTCACTCCAAGGCCAAGCCACACAAGCTGAGCCACAATACACATACTGAGGCTGTCAGATTATTAGCCAATTAACAATTCTTCTGTCACCTGTGGGTTTTTTTTAAATTTAACAGTAGATTACGCTTTAAGCAATAATACTGGTACATCCCCCAACATCTCAGAAGTCCCTTTTTGAAACACTGTTTAACCAACAGTTTAACCAGCAAACACCCAGCAATTATTCTTAGTAGGAAAGGCTGCCCCTTGTTTTATTATATTATAATTATAATATTATATCCCCTTGCTACAATTAAGCACCTTAGAATGAAGAAAGTCTCAACGACTGACAAGGAATCAGGCCTGAACATACAGCTCAGATTTCTATTTTCTCTCTTTTAATATATTTTGTCTCCGCCATCTAAATCCATTTGATTAGTCGGGCTTGCAGCCGTGGTCTTAACTGTCCCACACCAAAGTGAGAGGAAGATGACTCATCACATGACAGAATTTTGACTCTATGGCATAAAACATCTGCTGAGCTCCCCTCTCCCCCTGTCCACTCTCTGTCCTTCCCCAAGCACTGTCCCCAAATCTCCCATGAATTTCCCAACCCAGAGTTGACAACCCTAAAAGCCTCATAAGGTTTATAAATCTAAGGGATGGGTAAACACAGTATGAATGCAGATCACGCAAAAAGGGTGTAGATTT